TTGTCCCCCCCCCCCCCCCCCCCCGCCCTCCCGGCCGTAAATTGAGCGGACTAGCCACGTGAAATAGCAAACTGAGTGATTAGGCGCTGTATGGTTTGCTTCTATTTAGCATTTGTTTTGCCCTCTGATGAACCATACATCCTGCAGGAGTTTTTCTCAGTTCCTCTCATACTTTTCTCTCGATTAATCGCGTTTTTGACTGAGAATTAAATATTTAATCATGCAATATCAATTTCTCATTTCTTAGAAACCGAACCCCCACATCACTCCGGACGATTTGACCACAATTCGTCGCAATTTGCAGGCACGAAACATGACTGTTAGTGACTCCCTTGTAAGTTTCAGTCATTTGGACATCGTTAATCATGCTATTTTCCCCGATTAGTGTAGATTTATTTTCTTGTTTGATTTGTCTTCGACATCACTCCAGTCGCATAGCGTTCTTCACTTCGTACAGTTGCCATACATCTCGGTCATTTAACGCGATAACACCATTCGACAACATTCACTTCAACCAAAGGCTCCAGGTCGATGAAGAGAAGGAAAAAAGAACGATCTGGTGGGTTACCTCCATATCGTTCACCTTAAAGTCCAGCACATTTAGTTCTACTCCTGAGTAAAAAAGTGCAATTCCTTGTTTTTTTTCCATTGCATACACAATAGACTGGATGAAGTCCTGAGTCATCAGGACCTACCTTTCGGGTGTGGTAACCGATCGGCGAAGCTCAGACAAGTGTCTTTGGTAGCGAATTACAAAGATTGCATTGGGTCAGACGACCTTCTGTTAGGTGGTGTTCGAACTTCGGATGTTACTACAGAACGTCTATCAGTGGGAACGTAATTACTCCTTAGTTTGGTTAGTGGTGTAACTGTGTTTTACATGCACCTGCAACCTATTGATTGTTCAAAGTAACATGAACCACGCGCAATCGCATCATTCAAATGAGTAGGAGAGGCTCTGCAATGCCGCCGTGCAGCACATTATCAGCCACTATGTACGTTCAGTAGTCTGGATCGTATATCTCTGTTAACCTAGATTATGGGGTTTACCCCTTTTGCGGTAACTCATTTCGTGTGTAATAAAATAGTTGAATTTCCATGGCCAATCCTTATCCAGATAAATTCGTTGTATTATTTATAAATCTCATTAATCTTCAGTTAGATTGTAATCAATAACGGACTGTAATATTCATTTTTCGCAGCTGAAACAAAATGTTTTGGAACGTTCGATAGACCAAAATCGAATTTTTCCTCAGATCAGAATACTTAAAAAGGTGTGCCCACATAGTTGAACTGGGAGTATGGAGGTTCACATTCTTTTCCTCTGTTTCTCTCTCTCAACTCATGTCTGTTTCTGATGTTTTCTTCGCTGTATCTCGCTATACGGTGATGACGATTGATTGTCCCTAGCGATCCATGTATGGCTTCAGTGAGATAACCGCGGTATTGAACCGGGTGAAAGCTTATTAGTTTTCTGCTTCAATTTTTCATTTCATGTTCTCAATGATAGGTAATAGATCTGCGTTCACAAGACCTGTTGCTACCGATCCATCTATAAACATACAAAGTTTCAGTTTAAATCTTCATTAATCAACCAGACTGTCCATGACCTTCTCTGAAATCTGCAACATAGCACCGCATTGTTTTGACCCTACGGATTTCGCTAAGCATTCAGTACGAGAACATTTAGGGGGTGGGGTGGGGGAGAGACGTTCTCAGGTATACGTCTGCAGTTCCGTGATTCAGCCTCCCACTTCACGTAAAAAAGACCAAAGAAGCGGTTCTTGAACTTGGAGGAGGTAAAAGAAAACTATTAGATCCATTTTTAAGCTCGTAAACTGCCGATGGTTGTTGAAAAAAGTTTCCCTGTTGCATGTGTCCTGAATCATGTGCTAAGAGTGGGCCATATGAACCACGCTCGATAGCCAAAGCTCTAGAGTGCATCTTCTTAAAATAACGGCGTCTATATTGATTAGAGCTTCACAGCCATACGCTTTCAAAATTTCAATTAGTTGTAGCCACCGAATAGTATGATCTGAATCCATGTCCAATTACAAACATAATATTATGCTCCTGTACATACCCTCGTACATACNCACATCTTATCTAAGATCGCAGAGACTTGGGAACCACTAGTTCGACGAATGTACCTGGAACGCGCTTTGTACAACTGCTATGAGTGTCGCAAAAGCTTCTACTACTACCAACAAGGATTCCTCACCCAAGGCGAATTGAATCCGGGCACAATTGATATATCTGCATCAGCATCGGAGTCTGACCGAAAAAATCATTCTAGGTTTCCTGCTGATCCGGATGTGGCGAGTGAATTCTCTGATTGTCGAGAGGTAGTCTTCTTCTATCGATTGATGCGCATGCTGGATGCAACCTGCAGTGCCTTGCGACAGCAGATCATGAATGACGAAGGTATGTTTGCGTATGTGTAAGAATGCATATCAATTATTTGATCTGATTGCACAGGCATACATGAACACCACTGGAACAGTTTTCGTATGTGAACATTCCTCTTCACGTCAAGTGTTTTGTGTGTAGTGATTTCATATTTCTTTTTCCAATT